AGAGGCCACACAGCCAGTAAGAGGGGGACCAGGGCTGGAGCCTGGAGCTGTTGGACCCCTGTCAGCCCCAGCCACACCAGCTCACCACTGTTCCACCTCGCAGGCCTCATGTTCCACCCCACTCCCTGTTACAATGCAATACCCAACTGCAGGGCAAATAAAAGTAGCGTTCTAAAATTTCAAAATGGGGGGTAGAGGTACAGAGCCACTACTTACTTTTCTATAGTGTTTGGAGGCCCCATCCTGACTCTGCCCCATCTTGCTGTGTGACCTGGGGAAAGTTGTTTGCCTTCTCTGAGGCTCAGCAGTGGGTCTTCCTACTCTGCTACCCAAACATCCCCAGATCTGCCCTTGCTTCATCTCCCAGTGGCTGTCCTGGGATTGGAGGTGGTGTGTTTGGAGAGTACGTTGGGCTGAGACATCTCACGATGGAGGCAACAAGGGTTGAGGGGCCCCAGCACCACACCCTGGCTTCTGGTCCTGCCACAGGCAACCAGCACCACAAATCCTGCCAGCCAAGGCTCTGGGCTAATGGAGCCTGGCCAGGTTTGGACAAGCCTTTTCCTCTTTCCCTTTCTCTCTCTCTCTCTCTCTCTCTATGGCGTAGGTCACTTGTTCATTCAACAAACATTTATTGAGTGGCCACTAAGAGCCATGTAGGTGGAGGGAGATGGAGACTCACATATACTGGTCACTGTACAAGGCAGACTGTGACTGTGGCCTGTGGGTGCTGGGGGCAAGAGAAAAGTCCTGCTCTGGGTGGGTTCCAGGAGGAGGTGGCCTTTGGGTGGGGCATAAAGCCTGGGTAAAACTTTGACAGGTGAAGAGGGGAGAGCATCGCGGATAGAGGGCACAGCTTGAGCAAAGGCCTGGAGGCAGGTAAAATTACAGGGTGCCTTTGGAGGCTAGGAGAGTGTCTGGTGAGACTGGAGTGTACGAATGTGGGGTATTCGACCGGAGGGTAAGTTGGGCCAGACCTGCGGGGCCTCGAATGCCTGGCTGAAGAGCTCCAACTTTCCCCCGAGGCGTTTCGGCAGAGGAGGGGCGGGCTCAGACCGCTTCCTGGAAGGCTCCCTTTGGCTCCGAGGCTTTCAGGTCAGTCCTGTGAGGTCTGGGGCGTGATTTCTACTTACAGAAATGGAAACTGAGACCTCAGAGAGGTGAACTGAAGGGCCCATGGTCCAGAGCTTCAGTGGTATGGTTGAGACTGAGGCCCAATGCCGGGGGCACGGGCAGTGGGGATGGGGATGCATTGTGGGGCAGGGCTGAAGACAAGATGTCTGGGTCAGTTTTCCATCTGCAAAATGGGCACGTTGAGGGCCTTCCCTAATCAGATGCCCGGATCCTGCCTTGGACGGGCCACCCGCCACGCTCCCTCTCACAGGGCCTGAGAGGTCACGCCTGCCCCTTGACGTTTTCCCCAAGGCCCCTGTCCTAACATGCCGACCTCACCCCATCCCACCTCAGGGGAGTCTGGCCTCACCTCCCTGGGCTTCCTCATGCCAGACGCTGCTCATCTGCCATTAGTCACCAGTGGGTAGAAAAGCCGAGGCCTTCAAATGCCCTATTGTGGTCCCACCCACTACTGCCCTGCCCTCCCTCCCCTCCCAGCTCAGCCATCCAGGGCCATCTCTGGTGTGGGGTCCCTTGTCCTTGGGGAATGGCTGAGCCCAACCAGGGCCTGGGAGCCCAGTTGTGCTGTGTGACCTCAGGCAGATTCCCCAACCTCTCTGAACCTGAATCCTTTTCCTTTACTTCCTTCCTTCCTTCTAGTGTTCCTTCAATGCTCTCTGACTCATCCCTCCCTCTCTCATGCCATAAACATTTATTGAATGTCTGCTGACCAGACACCGTGGGTCAGAAGCACGGACCACAGCCCTCAGAGGCTTCACTTGCCGAGGCTATAGCACCGGACATGACCCAGGCCCCTGAGGCCCCACCCCTCGGGGCGAGGTGAGTAGGACTGACCTCTGAACCATGTTAGAGCCAGCACAGGCTTTGGAACCCACCCCAGGTTCCACGGCCCCACTTCCTGACTGTGTGACCCCGGAAAAGTCACTTCACCTCTCTGAGTCCCAGTTTCCTCATTTAATGAATGACAAGAATCATATTGTAAGATTTAAATGGGACATCTGGCTGGTAATGGGTTATTCAAAAGTTCTAAAAATTCACCTTTGTCTCCACCCCGAGGCCTGGAAATCCTCGTGGAAGTGAAGAACGGATCTCTCTAATGGTGGTGTTCAGGTAGGTACAAGGTCAATGGTGACCTCGGGTACAAGACTTATTTGGGAGGCGGAGAGTTCTTCTGAGCACCCTCCCCCACCAAATATTCTACTTTGTCTGCAGCCTGCTTCACCTACACACAGGAACCTCCCTTTAGTGGGGGAAGGGGAGTCCTGACTCTTGATGACATCATCAGAAAAATTTTTAGATGACATTTATTGAGGACTTACTATGTGCCCGGCACTGAACAGACATTATGTCTAATATCCAGAGGTGGGGACTCTTATATCCATTTTATAGAGGAGGAAACTGAGGCTCAGAGAGGTCTAGTAACTTGCCTAGGGTCGCACAGCCAAGAGTGACCCCAGATGCGCCCTGATCTAACCACTGCACAGCATTTCCACTGCATGGGATAATGAAAGACCCCTGCCTGCACTGTCTGGGGACATTGAGCCCATGACCACTCTCTCTGGGCCTCAGTTTCCTCCTCAGTAAAATGGAGTTTTGAATCCTTCATTGCCCAATGAGGTAAGACAAGGCAGGGTTTCCCAGCTTCTCTGAACAGATGGGAAAACTGAGGCCCAGACCGGGGCAAGGAATTCCCCCTGGTCACTAGTATCCAGGTCTTGGGGCCCAGCCTGGGCTGTGGACTCTGCCTGCCGCTTCTCAGAAGCCGGTCCTGACCCCGACTGCCTGTCCTGGGATTGCTCAAGATTGTGTCACTGAGGTGGCCACCGTTCTCTGGAAAAGGGGAGAGGAAGGAAGAGGAGGCAGCTGACTGGGTCGGGTAGGGCGTGGGGCTCTGTGCCAAGGCCCACACCGGGCACCAGGAACAACCTGACGGGTATTCTAAAAATACTCCAAGTGGATTCCTGTCCTCCAGGGAACCTCCGGGTGGGGTGATAAAGGAGAATTAGTACTGAGTGGAAAAGAACAGCTCATTTTCAAATGAGAAAGAAGGGACAAAGACAAAAGCCACCCTTTCATTCAGGGCAGGGCTGCCACTTATAGGAACACACCGCCCGCAGCCTGCTTTCTGCAAAGGCTGACTGTCCCCGGGCCTCCTGTTTCTCTTCCAGGTCCCGGTCCCTCGGGCCACGTTCTGGGGCATTGGGCATTTTTATTCCACAGCTCAGGGACCCCAGTTATCGAGTGCTCACTACGTACTAGGTGCTGGACCTGAGTCATTTTGGTTGAGTCTTACTCCAGGCCTGTGGGGGAGGAATTCTTGCCCCCCTTTGGCAGAGGGAGAAACTGAGGCCTGGAGAGCCGAGATACCTGCCTGTGGCCATGACCACACAGTTGGTCAAGGTCAGAGTGGGAACTCGAACCCTGGCTTCTTGACCAACGTTCACTCACCCTGCTCCTTCCTCTGAGCACTTGCCAGCTGCAGGGAACAGTTTCTGCAAGAATATCTGTCAAATGGGGCATTTACAGGCTCACCCATGGGGCTATTTTGCAGGTCAGCAGGGCCCAACACGACGGCTTGAGTTTGTTCACTAAGACCCCGGGCAGGGCCCATTGACCAGGGGACAAACGTCCACTAAAACAGCACAGGTTTATTCCCTGCACGGTGTCACATGGGAATGGAAACGGGCCAGTTCTGTAGCCCAAATCCATCAATAGATATGGAACTTACTCCAGAAAAAGAGCTGGGGGAAGCCCACAGACCTCTGTCTCTCCAGAGACCTTCCCTGCACAGGCCTCATGGTGGATGAGAAGCACAGGAGACCGGGGGACCGGAGGGACCAGGATGGCAATGGGCCCCCCAGGGTGCTGGGTTTGAGGGGTCAGAGGTTGAGTCCCTGGAAGGTTGGCTTTGTTCCTCTCTGGCACACAGTGGGCCTGCAAGGAACATCAGGGAGAGAGGGAGGGAGGGAGGGGGGGAGGGGTGAGTGGATAGATGGGTAGGTGGGTAGGTGGGGGGGTGGGGAGTGGATGAGTGGATAGACGGTTGGACGGATGATTAGACGGACTGAGGGACAGATGAAATAGGCAGATTATCTGGGTTTTGCTATAGGAAGAGGTGCTGGTATGTCTGTCTTTGTGGGTGTGTCTGCATGTCTGTACATGAGTTGTGTTTGCACGTGTGTCCATCTCAGAGAATCTGCATTTTCGTGTGTCTATAGGTGCCCCGATCTGATTTTGTGTCCGCATCTCTGTGAGGTCTGTCTATGTGGGTCTGGGGACATCTGGACACCCGCTAATTTGTATGTGGCTCTTGGTGGGCCCCTGTCTCTGTGTGTCTGGCTGTATATGTCCTGGCACATCTCTGTGATTTTAGTGTCCATGTCACTGTGTCTGTGTGTCCTGGTTTATCTGCTGTATCTGTCAGAGTGTGTCTGTGTCTCTGTGCATCCACATCCCTACCTCTGATTGTGTGTCTCTGTCTGCTCCGTGTGTATCTGTGTCTGAGTGTGTGTGTCTTCTTGACCCGGGGTCTGACCTGACTAGGGGTCCATGTCTGCGTATCCAGGTGTGCTGTGTGCCCCGGTGCAAGTGTGTGTCTGTGCCTTCATGTGTGTATTTCTGTGTCCAGATGTGTCTGTGTGTCCTGTTCTAATTGTGTGTCCTGTCCATGCTGGCCCAGCCCTGCACTCTGCCCATTCCCCCAGGGGGCGCCCTTGCCCGGCTGCCCGTCCCTCCCTCCCTGGGGCTCCTGCCCCTGGGTGCGCCCCAGCGGCTGGCTGAGAGCAAGCGTGGGCAAGGGTGGCCTCACCAGGTCCCCGCCTCCCCGTGTGGCCCCGCCCCCGGCCCGCCCCGAAGCGGGCTATAAGTTCCCACTGCTCTCAGCCTCCACAGTGCCTGTGCCAGGGGCCTGCACTTGGAGGGTCCTGACAACAGTCTGAGGAGCCACCGCCACCACCTGACCATGGCCAAGGGTGAGTATCAAGATCAGCACTGTGGCCACTCAGGGCCCCATGCCTGACCATCCCTCCCTGGTCTTGGTGGTCCCACGGGTGCAATGGAGGGCAGGACTGGGCTGGGGCTCAATCCTTCAGTCCCGGATTTGGAGAGCAACAGGAGGGCTGGGCTGGGTGAAAGGTGCCTGGCTCCCCGTCCTGGCTCTGCTTGGGCCCTCAGTTTCCCCATCACCAGGGCATAATCATTAACCCCTGCCTCCCTGGATCAGAGGAGGCAGTGGAACATGAACGTGTGTTGCAAAGTACTGTGCACAGTGCACCATTGTCACCTGTCCTCAGCTGTGCAGAGGGTGCTGGCCTGGCCTCAGATCACTTAGCTTTAGTTGGTCCCTGCCAGCTGGGAGGAGGCATGGGTGCTGTCCCTGGTGGTGGGCAAGCCAAGCCTGGCTGACTCCTTGGCCCCGGGGGCCAGAGAGGAGGTTCCAGCGTCCTGTGGGGAAGTGGGCTGAGAGCAGGCATGTTCTCATAGGTCCCTTCCGGCCCTCAAGTTCTGCAGCCGCAGTTCTTGGCTGCTTGTTAGTCTCAGTTTCCTTTCCTGTACGACACGGACAATAATGGCAGCCATGGTGCGTCTGTGAGGGCTGAGAGGAGTGGTGAAGGGGCTCAGTTAATTTCCCACCTGCCCCTCCCAGGGGAGGGGCTCCGACCACGGACCATGTCCTGCACTAATGCTGCGGGACCCAGCGTCCGGCTGACTCTTGGGTGAGGTCCATTTGGGGATGGCCTCCGTACCCCTGCACCCCCAGGAAGGAGGGGTGGGGAGAGGGAGTGTGGAGCAGGACACGGGACCGGCGGAGCGGGGATGAGCGGGAGGAACCACCATCTGCCTGGCCTGCTGTGTGACCTCAGGCCGCCTTTGTCCCTCTCTGTGACCCAGCTCCCCAACACATGGGATCAAAAGCCAGCTCAGGACTGGCTGTGACAGGTCCCCTTGGTGGCCACTTGTCCACAGTGCAATTTCCCACTCCTGTCCCTATGAGTGGGGCTCAGTGGGGCTGGGGGACCCTGGAGATGCCAGCTATGATGAGCCCCCTGTCCCATTGCCACAGTGGCCACTTCCTCCAGGGTCCCCTGGCCTGGAAGACCCCGGGTCCTTTCTCAACACAGAAGTCCTATGCCTCTAGACCCCAGCGTTCCTGCGCCTTTGGAGATGGGCATGATTTCTGGAAACGCTTCTTCAGACAATAGCCTGAGAAAGTGCTCCGTGTGCCCCAGACCAAGGACTGACCGGCTCTCTAAGGTCTCCCAGGGGAACAAGGTGGTCTCTTTCCTGCTTAAGCTCCCTGGAGTAGAAGTTTCCCGAAACAGTATGTTCTCACCCCAGCAGGCCAGCAGGAAGTTCTTCCTTGCCGCCAGTGGAGGTCTCTCCTGCTGTGATTGCAGGGGTCAGCTTCCCCAGGTCTCCTCCCAGGCTCGAGAACAACACAGGACGTGGGAGGGAGGGGGGAGGGAGGGGAAGGGGGGGAGGGTGGAGACCAAACCCTGAGCCAGGAGTGAGGTGGTTACCAGCACAGACTCCAGAATCTACAACCCGGGTTCAAATCCCAGCGCCGCTGTGTGCCGTGGGACCTGGGGCCGCGTACTGTCTCTCTCTACAAAACAGAGAGAGTGATTGTCCTATGCGAGTGGAGATAATCCACGTAGAAGCCGTCAGCAGACGCTGGGCATTTGCACCTCACTTTTGGGATACTCCATGGCAGGAGGCAGGAGACCTGGGTCAATGTCCCAGTGGAAGGCTGACTTGCTGGGTGACTTGGGCAAATCCCTGCCCCTGGACCCCGGTTGGACCACATCCTCTCCAAGGGCCCCACAGCTCTGAGTCTGTCTTGCCCGCTCCCCCCACCCTACGGTCTTCCTAACCTTGACCTCACCAAGGTTTATGAATCTTGTGCTTCTCTCAGACCCCCACCCACCCATCACCCCTACCCCTTCTCTGGTCTTCAGCTCCCTCTGAAGCTATAAGTAGAAATCTCACATATCAAGCTTTTGCCCTAACCTAGATGCCGGGGACAGGGTGTCCCAATATCCTCTCCTAGACCTCACAGCAGTCCGTGAAGGCTTCAGAGAAGGAGGCACAGAGAGGGAGAGACACCTGTCCAGGATCACACAGCAGCACAGCAGAACTGAAACCCAGGTCCAGAAGACTCCCAAACCCCTGTCATTTTTAAAACCTTTTATTATGGAGAATATTGAACATACGTAAGAGTAGAGAGGACAGAATAATAAATGCCTACGTTCTCATCACCCAGTCCCAACCACCAACCCATGGCTACTCCTGCCTTCTGTACCCGTATCTTACCCCCTCCCCATTATTTGGAAGCAAATCCCGGACATCACATCATTTAATCTGTAAATATTTCAATATGTATCTCTGAAGGATAAGGACTCTCTTTTTTTAGACATAAACAAATTAACAAAAATTCTTTAATATCACCATTATTCTATCAGCGTTCAAATTTCCCGTTGTCTCCTATGTGTAAAAAATATTTTTAAACAGTTTTTTAAATCAAGATCCAAATAAGGCCCACACAACACAATGTCTAGGAATGTTTCTTAGGTTTCTCTTAATCTGTACCTTCCCCCTTCAACTTTTTCTTTTCATTTTGTTCTTGCAATTTATTTGTTAAAGAAACCAGATCTTTTGCCTATAGTTTCCCAGAGTATGAATTTTGTGGATCGCATCCTGGTTCTGTGTTTAACGTGTTCCTCAGTCCTGCGTATTTCCTGTAAATTGAAAATTGAACCTGAAAGGCGAAGCCTGTGTAATTAACCTATACCCAACACCGCCTGTGTTTTTACAGAAAGCATCCCCCAACTGCGAAAGAATATCTCATGTTTTTGTTGTTAGTGTCACAGAGTCGATTCTCACTCCAGGCAACCCTGTGTATGGCAGAGCTGAACCCTGCCTGGTCTTTCTGCGCCATCCTCTCAACTTCCAGTGCTGTCTCAGACAATGCTCTGCTGCTATTTATAGGGTTTTCCTGGCTAATTTTTTCTGAAGTGAGTGGCCAGATCCTTCTTCCTAGTCTGTCTTAGTCTGGAAGCTCTGCTGAAACCTGTCCACCATGGGTGACCCTGCTGGTATTTGAAATACCAGTGGCATAGCTTTCAACATCATAGCAGCACGCAGCCGCCACAGTGTGACAACCTGAGCAGGACACAAACCGGGGGTCGGCGGTGAGAGCGCCGAATCTTAACCCTCTCCCATCAGGGCCGGCTAGCTCGTGTTTAGTAAGCATTTATTATGTGCCAGGCGCCGTGCCAAGTGGCTCACAACAGCCCTCTGAGGTGGATCCTGTTGTCCCCACCTGCGGACTGATGGGGAAACTGAGGCCCAGGAAAGTTGAGTTGCCTGAGGTCACACAGCCGGGAGGTGGCAGAGCCTTCTCCCGACAAGTCGCAGAGGGCACAACTTTGTGATTAAAAGTTAGGGAGATTTGGCCCCCGCCGGCCTCTGGGTGATGGGGTGGGGTGGGGACTAGGAGGGGGAAGGGCTGATAGCCACTGTCTAGAGAGGGCTGGCTCCCGGAGGGCCCTGAGGGCCCCCATGTCCAGGGACTGCAGCCGTGCGTCTGGGGGTCACAGCTGGCTGAGGAATGCCACCACGGCTCACGCCTTCCTGCTTCTCTGTAGATCTGGTTCTGGAGCGATGTGACCTGGAGCTGGAGGCCAATGGCCGAGACCACCACACGGCCGGCCTGTGCCGAGAGAGGCTGGTGGTGCGGCGGGGCCAGCCCTTCCGAGTGACGTTGCACTTCCAAGGCCGAAATTACGAGGCCAGTGTGGACAGCCTCACCTTCAGCGTCGTGACTGGTGAGTACCCTCCCCGCCTCCACCCGCCCTGCCCCGTCTGTGATTCATTGTCTCCTGATGGACAACCGGACAGGTGGCTTGGTTCCTCTTTGGCCCCTGCGAAATTCCCAGCAGTCACTAACCCCATTTTACAGATGAAGAAACTGAAGCCCCCGTCACCCAGCCTTGTGCCCCTGGTTACATGGGTTCCTGAAAACCTATCATCACCGGGGTTGGGGGTCAGCTTCCTACCACGCAGGCCCATCAAGATCTTGCTTGCTCTTTCCTATATCAAAACAACTTTCTAACTCTTATCAACAGCAGCTTCCCAAAATCCACACAACCTGACCAGGCCTCTGGGATCAGGTCCAAGTCGTGTCTGGGTGGTGGAGAGAACCCAGCTGGCTCCAGCACTCTGAGTGGGCAGTTTTGCGTTCTGGTAGTTCCTTCTCCAAGCCTCAGGAGGCTGTCTTAGGCTTGAGGGCTGGACAGACAGACCTGGGTTCTGGTGCCAACTGGGCGGCTTGCCCGCTGTGTGACCTGGGGCAAGTTGCTTAGCCTCTCTGAGCCTGAGCGTCATCATGGGGAAAGCACTCACGGAGGACGGTTGTTAAGTGAGAAGGGCCTGACATGGAGGAGTACCCTGTAGATGTTAGTGGCTGTTCTTGCTCCAGGGGCTCCAGTGATGGGCGAAGGGACGTTGAGGCTCCAGCCACCCCATCCCTAGATGCCGAGCACCCAATCTTCTTTATACATCATTCCTGGAAAAGTGGCCTTGAGTGTTGAACCGGTTGGTTTGGCTTCTGGTGGGAACCATGCCCTGGAGGTCGCCAGTGAGGAGCCTCCTGGCTGGGACTCTGGCCCAAGGATGGGAAAGGCTGGCTCTGTCTGAGGTCTCAGGGGGCAGAGAGCAGCAGGCAGGCTGAGGCCCGTATTTACGTGGGAGGCTGTTTGATAAGGCTTATCATGGCACCTGCAGACTGGCCACAGACGTCCCCTCTGTGCCTTTCCTCCCTTCTCCTTCCCTCCTGGAAGGTAAACACCCACTACTCAGGGGCACCCCACACACACCCAGCACCCTTGGGGCCCTTCCTAACAGACTGGAGGGGCCTCCAGCAAGTCTCTGATCTTTCTAGCCTCAGTTTCCCCATCACCAGGGCATAATCATTAACCCCTGCCTCCCTGGATCAGAGGAGGCAGTGGAACATGAACGCGTGTTGCAAAGTACTGTGCACAGTGCACCATTGTCACCTGTCCTCAGCTGTGCAGAGGGTGCTGGCCTGGCCTCAGATCACTTAGCTTTAGTTGGTCCCTGCCAGCTGGGAGGAGGCATGGGTGCTGTCCCTGGTGGTGGGCAAGCCAAGCCTGGCTGACTCCTTGGCCCCGGGGGCCAGAGAGGAGGTTCCAGCGTCCTGTGGGGAAGTGGGCTGAGAGCAGGCATGTTCTCATAGGTCCCTTCCGGCCCTCAAGTTCTGCAGCCGCAGTTCTTGGCTGCTTGTTAGTCTCAGTTTCCTTTCCTGTACGACACGGACAATAATGGCAGCCATGGTGCGTCTGTGAGGGCTGAGAGGAGTGGCGAAGGGGCTCAGTTAATTTCCCACCTGCCCCTCCCAGGGGAGGGGCTCCGACCACGGACCATGTCCTGCACTAATGCTGCGGGACCCAGCGTCCGGCTGACTCTTGGGTGAGGTCCATTTGGGGATGGCCTCCGTACCCCTGCACCCCCAGGAAGGAGGGGTGGGGAGAGGGAGTGTGGAGCAGGACACGGGACCGGCGGAGCGGGGATGAGCGGGAGGAACCACCATCTGCCTGGCCTGCTGTGTGACCTCAGGCCGCCTTTGTCCCTCTCTGTGACCCAGCTCCCCAACACATGGGATCAAAAGCCAGCTCAGGACTGGCTGTGACAGGTCCCCTTGGTGGCCACTTGTCCACAGTGCAATTTCCCACTCCTGTCCCTATGAGTGGGGCTCAGTGGGGCTGGGGGACCCTGGAGATGCCAGCTATGATGAGCCCCCTGTCCCATTGCCACAGTGGCCACTTCCTCCAGGGTCCCCTGGCCTGGAAGACCCCGGGTCCTTTCTCAACACAGAAGTCCTATGCCTCTAGACCCCAGCGTTCCTGCGCCTTTGGAGATGGGCATGATTTCTGGAAACGCTTCTTCAGACAATAGCCTGAGAAAGTGCTCCGTGTGCCCCAGACCAAGGACTGACCGGCTCTCTAAGGTCTCCCAGGGGAACAAGGTGGTCTCTTTCCTGCTTAAGCTCCCTGGAGTAGAAGTTTCCCGAAACAGTATGTTCTCACCCCAGCAGGCCAGCAGGAAGTTCTTCCTTGCCGCCAGTGGAGGTCTCTCCTGCTGTGATTGCAGGGGTCAGCTTCCCCAGGTCTCCTCCCAGGCTCGAGAACAACACAGGACGTGGGAGGGAGGGGGGAGGGAGGGGAAGGGGGGGAGGGTGGAGACCAAACCCTGAGCCAGGAGTGAGGTGGTTACCAGCACAGACTCCAGAATCTACAACCCGGGTTCAAATCCCAGCGCCGCTGTGTGCCGTGGGACCTGGGGCCGCGTACTGTCTCTCTCTACAAAACAGAGAGAGTGATTGTCCTATGCGAGTGGAGATAATCCACGTAGAAGCCGTCAGCAGACGCTGGGCATTTGCACCTCACTTTTGGGATACTCCATGGCAGGAGGCAGGAGACCTGGGTCAATGTCCCAGTGGAAGGCTGACTTGCTGGGTCACTTGGGCAAATCCCTGCCCCTGGACCCCGGTTGGACCACATCCTCTCCAAGGGCCCCACAGCTCTGAGTCTGTCTTGCCCACTCCCCCCACCCTACGGTCTTCCTAACCTTGACCTCACCAAGGTTTATGAATCTTGTGCTTCTCTCAGACCCCCACCCACCCATCACCCCTACCCCTTCTCTGGTCTTCAGCTCCCTCTGAAGCTATAAGTAGAAATCTCACATATCAAGCTTTTGCCCTAACCTAGATGCCGGGGACAGGGTGTCCCAATATCCTCTCCTAGACCTCACAGCAGTCCGTG